GTAAACACCTAAATTGCACAATAGTAAGAGCAGAACTACCTGTTCTCACAAAGATCTGTATAGAATATGGCCTCATGCAACATTCTATAAATGATAAAATGCTCAAAAATATACATAGTTCTATACACTTTGACTTCGGATCAGGTAATGGAGATGATGGATATCTACAACAACCTTCTTTGTCACAAAAAGCCTGTGCTGTTGCACGGCGACACCAGCGAGCATGTCCATCTGCCAGGGCCGGGCGCACAGCTGCTCGGCCCACACTGGAGAAGCCGGTGAGAAGCCAGGCTTCCACCGCGAGAGCAGTTCTCCCTGACTCAAGCTGCGCAGCTGCCTACAGACAGTGTGGAGTCGCAGCAAGTGTTCCAACTTCAGTAGCTTCCGGTTCATGCTTCTCCTAGGGGGAAAAACAATTTTAAAACAAAATTTTGGTTAATAGTTAAATCAAATTAGCAAATAGGAATTGAAGATTTACTATATGCAGATCACGTCACAAATGAAACTGGGTTTCTGCCCTCAAAGGACTCACGGTCTAGTGAGAGATGAGATTCTATGCCAAGTCCTCTCCTGACAACAGCTATTACTACTGCTCTTGTTACCATTACAGTGAGACTGACAGGCTACAACGAACACTTCACAGGGGCCAGCGCTTTCTCACATGCTTAACGCTGCTCAGCTGAGTATGGCACAGGCAGGGGATCCTAGCACTCAGGCGGAAGCAAAGCTCAAGGTCCGCCTTAGTTGCAGTTTGTGGCCTACTCTGGCTACATAAGACATTGTCTAAAAACAAATAACTATAAATTTTTTATTTTTCAGGGGCTTGGAGAATCATAAAATACTTGTTTAGCATATACAAGAACCTGAGTTTGATCATACATATAGACACACACACACACAGATAGTCTCAGTTAAAAACTTCAACGTTCATTTTAAAGCATTTTCTCTCTACTTATATTTTTTCTTATATAAGTGAAGTTACATTAGTTTTTTCGATTTATTCCTGTTTTGCCTGTGTGTATGTCTGTGTACCAGGCGGGTGCAATGTCCCCTAAAGCCAGAGGGGCATCATATCCCGGAACTGGAGTTCCAGACAACTGTTAGCCACCATGTGGTGTCCCGGAAGAGCAGCATTCTGAACTGCTGAGTAGTCTCTCCATCACACTATATTATCTTTTAAAATTTTCAGTAAAGAATATACTGTTGTTTTATAACATCAGTACTATTCTTTTTAAAAAGATCTATCTATCTATCTATCTATCTATCTATCTATCTATCTATCTATCTATTATGTATACAGTTTTCTGCTTGAATGTATGCCTGCAGGCCAGAAGAGGGCATCAGACCTCATTACAGATGGTTGTGAGCCACCAGGTGGGTGCTGGGAATTGAACTCAGGTCCTCTGGAAGAGCAGCCAGTGCTCTTAACCTCTGAGCCATCTCTCCAGTCCCAAGCATTATTCTTTAATGTTACAAAACGAATAAAAACTACAGAGTATTGCATTGAATTTACCTTAATCATATAGAGCAGCAGTTCTCAACCTGTGGGTTGCAACCCTTTTGGGGGGGGGTGTCACAAATCAGATATGCTGCAAATGTACATAATGATTCATAACAGTAGCAAAATTACATTTATGAAGCAGTAATGAAATAATTTTATGCTTGGGGGTCACCACACCATGAGGAACTGTATTAAAGGATCGCAGTATTAGGAAGGTTGAGAACCTCTGCTGTAGAGCTATCTGGAACAAAATCCTCAACTTTTATGTTGTCTGAAAACTCTGTTAACTGTTTAAACATAGTTTATATTGATAGAGGACTTATGAATATCAATATTTTATAATGTTTAGAAATAGCAACAGCATAAGACATGATCAAAGAAATGGAAGTGAGTTTGCTACATAATAAGACATTAAACTATGATCTTAATGGAACATTTCAATTCATCATCCTCACATGTATTCTGTGGCTCTGGCAGGGTAAATACACTGACTTATTTGAGACACCTCACTGTATTGTTAGGCTGGTCTGGAACTCATAATCCCCAGCTTCCACTTCTACAAGCTGTGATGAGACATGTCCACCATGCTTTCCCATGAATGTTTTTGGTTTTTTCTCTTTTTTCTTCCCTTCCTTCCTTCCTTCCTTCCTTCCTTTCCCCTTCCCTTCCTTCTTTTCTTTTTGTTTTGATATAGAGTTTCTCTGTGTAGTCTTGGCAGTCCTGGAACTTGTTCTGTAGACCAGATGGGCCTCAAACTCAAGAGATTCACTTGTCTCTGTCTCCTGAGTGCTGGGGTTAAAGGTGTGCATCACCACCACTCTGATGTAGGATGCCCCTCCGTGTGCTGGGAATACCATTGGTTAATAAAGAAGCTGCTTTGAGCCTATTGAAGCACAGAATAGGGCAAGGCAGAAATTCCAAGCAGACAGAGGAGAGAGTAGGTGGAATCAAAGAGAAGCCATGTAGCCGCAGGAGACAGACGCTGGACACTGGACAGAACCTTACAGGTAGGCTACAACCACACGGCAATACACAGATTAAGAGAAATGGGTTAATTAGGATATAAGAGCTAGCTAATAAGAAGTGTGAGCTAATAGGCCATGCAATGTTTTAATTAATACAGTTTCTGTGTGCTTATTTTGGGTCTGGGCGGCTGGGAAATGAATAAGCAGCCTCCACCTACATCACTTGGCTGTTCTCTTTGTTTTTAAAAGAAAGAAATGATAGCTAAGTGTGGTGAAGGTGACTGTAACCCTGCCAGTTGGGAAGCAAAGGCACGAAGATCAGAAGTGCAAAGCCAGCTTTGGCTACAGAGTGAATTTGGGGCCAACCCAGGCTTCTGGAGATCTTGTTTCAAAAAGTAATAAAACGTACAAAAAACAAACCCCACTGTTAGTGAGATGGCTCAGCAGGCAAAACCAATCTTCAGGCTTGACAACATGGGTTGTCCAGAATCCATTTCAACATGGAAAGAAAGGTTCAACTCCCCCAAATTGTCCTCTAACCTCTACATGTGGTCCATGATAAGCACATGACATACCTGCACATATACACACAACATACATCACAAATGCACAGAAAAAAACAGATAAAAGGAAAGAAACAAGAGTCAAAAAGGACACAGTAAAGTCGTGAAGAAAGTACCTGGGGAGGTAACCAAAGAACCTTGGGTGGACACCTGCTCTGACACAAATCAGCTTTATCATGGCAGAGCAGGTCACTCTTGTCCAGTGGGCCTCATTTTCCTCATCTCTGTAAAAAGAAAGTAAAAGTGGTCAACTGTCTGTCCTGTCTAAAACAAGGCCACAAAGGGAACATGAGATGATTTATTTGTTCCTCACTGATAACTGGCATGCTTTGAAGATTCACCACCATTAGTCAAAAACATCCACAAGTTACTCTCTTGCTCGTCTGGACATAGTTCTGAGGCTTTGTGTTTAATATAGTTAGCATCTTACCTTCTCACCCAAGTAAGGATCAAATGTAATTCTGGCTTCATTCCAAATAAATGAAGGAAGACTTAGAAATTCAAGCCAGGCCTGGCAACAACAGCCAAAGGCTGAAGCAGGAGGATGACAAGTTCAAAGCCAATCTCCATCCTTGGCTACATAGGGAGCTCAAGGGCAGCCTAGGTATATCAGACAAACCACCACTCAGAAGAAAAAGAGAAAGGAAAGAGAAAAAAGAAGAGGGAGATGGTGTGTGGGGGCAGGGAGGAGAGAGAGGAAAGAGAATACATTGGTCCAAGTGCACGGACCTCAGGTTCAATCTGCGGTGTTGAGGGGAGAAAACAGGCCAAAGCGATGGCTTTGGTGAAGCACTGATGCTCTTGAGACAACTTAGCTTAGTCCCAAACATCCGCTTTGGGAGACTCACAACTCCACTACTCTAGCTTCAGGGGAATCTCACTATCTTCTTGCTTCTATGGGTAGGCAGGCATAACACACACACACACACACACACACACACACACACACATACACACACACACACACACACACTTTTTTAAAAATCCAATAACCAAGCATTTACAAGTCTATCATACACCTCAAAAAGCAAGTAGGCATATGCTTCTGATCTAAGAAGCGAAAGGAAGTGCTCAGAGAGCAGAGGATTCCTTCAATCTTTTTTTTTTTCTTTTGGTTTTTCTTGAGACAGGGCTATGTAGTTCGGGCTGTCCTGGAACTCACTATGTAGGCAAGGCTGGCCTCGAACTCAAGAAATCTCTGCTTCTAGAATGCTACCACTTAAAGCATCAAAGGCGCGTGCTCCTACGCCCGCTTTTAAATGAGTTGTGAAACCAGATTGACAAAAGGGCACGGATGAATGGAATGGTAAAGACCACAGGGCAAATCAACACAGAAATATGTAATTGAGGAATCAGACACATCAGGAAAAATAACCCAAATCTCAACCCTGGAAGGAACCTTGGTTGTTAGATATTCCAAAGCCTCTCATTTACAGAGGACGCTGGAATTCAGAGGGGTCATTTCCTACTGCCGTAAGGTTAGTGGCCACCCGCACTGGAACTCAGGTCAATACGAGGAGAGGGTGGGTATGCTGCAAATGCCGAGCTGCAATAACAGAAACGTCTGAACGGATCAGCTACAGGTTTTAGAAAGGAAAAAGTAGTTGTGAAAACCAAACCCCGCCGCCGCCACGCGAGCCACCGGGGAGCGTGCACCGGGGCGCTCGTGGTCACTCATCAAGCCGCGACAAGTGACACTGGCACTCAAGACCACCCTCGCTCAGAGACTCCACTCACTCAGCTCCCGGGCGAGACCTCTTCCGGACCCAGAATTGTGGGTCTGGTCAGTCCGTCCCTTCTGCAAGGTCCCCGGTGAGCTTCCGGTCCCGCCGGAAGCGCCTTTCCCAGGGCATTGGGGGCTGTCTGTGGCTGGCGGAGGCGCTCGGCGTGTCCCATCCCTCCCCGGGGAGGACGTGTCCTCCACACGCACGCGCGCGCGCGCGCGCGCACACACACACACACACACACACACAGACACAGACACACGCGCGCGCGCGCGCGTCTCTAGCAGGAAGGAACCGGTGCCCGGTGGCTATAGAGAGCACTAACGGGATTTAAGGAGTCACCTCGCGGGCACGGTAGGTAGCCCCGACCGGGAGGTGTTTTGTCAACGCTCTGTGCCTCGACTTCTTTATTTTTCACCTCATAATTCAGTGACTTGTTGAGAGCACCTTGCTCATGTAAACAGTTTTGGTTTTGATTTTCGTTGTTTTTCTCCACTTTGGAGTCTTTTTGGAGCCGTCACCACCCGTTGAGGTTAACTCGTTTACATCTAACACTTGCACAGAATAATGGAATAGGAAAGTTTCTTCCCCAAAGCACGCTTACACTTACCTCCCATTGTCTACCCTAACTCAGGCCTCTCAACCCACTCCTTTCCCATTTTTTTATTTATTTGTTTGTTTGTTTTTTTCGAGACAGGGTTTTTCTGTAGCTTTGGGGCCGGTCCTGGAACTAGCTCTTGTAGACCAGGCTGGCCTCGAACTCAGAGATCCACCTGCCTCTGCCTTCTGAGTGCTGGGATTAAAGGCATGTGCCACCACCGCCCGGCCCTTTCCCCTTTTTTAAAAATTGTATGTATAGCTTTCCAGCTTGGGCCGGGCAGAATGGCTCCCGCAAAGAAGGGTGGCGAGAAGAAGAAGGGCCGTTCTGCCATCAACGAGGTGGTGACCCGAGAATACACCAACATTCACAAGCGCATCCATGGCGTGGGCTTTAAGAAGCGTGCTCCTAGGGCACTCAAAGAAATCCGGAAATTTGCCATGAAGGAGATGGGGACTCCAGATGTGCGGATTGATACCAGGCTCAATAAAGCCGTCCGGGCCAAAGGAATAAGGAATGTTCCATATCGTATCCGGGTACGTTTGTCCAGAAAACGTAATGAGGATGAGGACTCACCAAACAAACTCTACACATTGGTAACTTACGTGCCTGTTACCACATTCAAAAATCTACAGACAGTCAATGTGGATGAGAACTAACCTACTGAATCTCAAATAAAGTTGGAGAACAGCCAAAAAAAAAAAATTGTATGTATATGGGGTGGGAGACGATTTGTGGGCGTCAGTTCTCTTTCCACAAGGTCGAAGGGATAGAACTGAAGAACTTAAGCTTGGCAGTAAACTCCTTTACCCAGTTAGTCATCTCAGCACCCACTTCCCCTTCCTATCACAAAGGGTTACAATCAATATTAATAAATGAGTAAAGACTCCTGGAAATCTTTTTATCAGAGTCTCCACTGTTCCCACACTTGAAAATGCCTTAAGTTCATTCCAGTTCTTACCATTTTAACTACTGTTCAAAAACACCTAATGGAAAATGCCTTAAGTTCATTCCAGTTCTTACCATTTTACCTACTGTTCAAAAACACCTAATGGAGTTCATTTTCTGCAAGCAATTCTTTGCTCTCACTTGCTTCGGTAAGCAAATGAGAAACCAGTAAAAATACTGTTGATATGGCCAACTAAAATTAACCTCCAGCCATTTGTTAATTTTCCTGCATCTGTACAGACTCCTCGTCTCTTCAACCTCAACCACACCTCCTGTTTGCAGTTAAAATGCTTTTGAATTATCATCATTCCTGCAAACCTCCAGACTGGGGTCACTGTCTTTCCCGTAGACATTATATGTACTGTTTTCAGCTTCTGCTTTTCAGGCCTCTTTGAAACTCCTTAACTCTGCTTTAAACCTTTGTGCATCTTTAAACCTTTGCAGCCATTCTACATCTATGCAGAAACACAGACAGATGCATTTACTGGGAGTGTGTAACATATGATCTAAGAATTAATATTAGTGCCACGAGGTGGTGGCGCACGCCTTTAATCCCAGCACTCAGGAGGCAGAGGCAGGCGGATCTCTGTGAGTTTGAGGCCAGCCTGGTCTACAAGAGCTAGTTCCAGGACAGGCTCCAAAGCTACAGAGAAACCTTGTCTCGAGAAACAGGAAAGAAAGAAAGAAAGAAAGAAAGAAAGAAAGAAAGAAAGAAAGAAAGAAAGAAAGAAAGAAAGAAAGAAAGAAAGAAAGAGAAAGAAGGAAGGAAGGAAGGAAGGAAGGAAGGAAGGAAGGAAGGAAGGAAAGAAGAATTAATGTTAGTACTTAAGATTATAATAAAAGGGAAGTGGAGAGATGGTTTACTGGATAAGAGCACTGGTTGCTCTTCCAGAGGACCTGGATTCTATTCCCAGTGCCCACATAGCAGTTCACAACCTTCTGTGACTCAGGTTCCACAGGGATCTTATGCCCTCTTCTGACCTCTGCATGCATGTGGTATAGATACATTCAGGCACATGCACATATACCGAAAAAAATTTTTTAAGAAATGAATAAAACTTAGGTTGAGTTGCTGACACTTTTAAATGAGTTTCCTTTTTAAAAAAGAAAGATTGGAAGAAAAGCCCATGGGCCAGTGAGATGGCACCTGTGCCCACACACTGGGAAGGCAGAACAGACGCCTGCGAGTTGTTCCTTAGTCACCATAAATGCTGCGTGGCACACAAATGCCACACCACCCACCCACCCACTCCTGCCACAAGTACACACACTGAAGAACCTGTGTTTATCACGGAAAGCAGGGCTACTTCATACATTGCTGTCGACAAAACCCCTGTATCTGTAAATTTAATGTGTAATAAATCCTGACATTGTGAAACGATGTTGCTGCCTGCTTCTGACAGTGTACTCGGGTCCAGCTGATTTCTCCGTCCTTACTATAGGAGCTAATTCTTCTGAGATGACCCTTTTTTCATAATCTTTAGAAAACAGTTTTCCTGGAATGGGGTAGAAAAGATGATGCTACACACCACTTAGTGTTTTGGGATATTTTTTTTTTTTTTTTTTTTTTTGAGACAGGATTTCTCTGTGTAACAAGGCCTGGAACTCACTTTGTACACCAGGCTGGCCTCAAACTCACTAAGATCTGCCTGTCTCTGCCTCCAAAATGCTGGGATTAAAGGCATGCGCCATCACTGCCTGGCTGGTTTTGGATATATGTTTGTTTTTAGTGGAAGAGACAATGTAAGCTACTTACTTATGCTCACAAGAATTTGAAATAACCATCTTAAAAAAGGGTATTTTAAATTATGGGTATTTATGTGTATGCACATGTGCATGTGGGTGTCTGGTGAGGCCAGAAGAGGGTACTGGTTCTCCTGGAGCTGGATTACAGGTAGTTGTGAGCCACCTAGACATGGGTGCTGGAGACCCAACTCCACTCCTGATAGAGTAGCAGTGTTCTTCAGTACTGAGTCACCTCTCCAGTCACCTACTTTGTTTTTCCCAGTTTAGTCTGCTATAGAGATTTTATTTTATTTTATTTTTTTTGGTTTTTCGAGACAGGGTTTCTCTGTGGTTTTGGAGCCTGTCCTGGAACTAGCTCTTGTAGACCAGGCTGGTCTCGAACTCACAGAGATCCGCCTGCCTCTGCCTCCCAAGTGCTGGGATTAAAGGTGTGCGCCACCACCGCCCGGCTTTGCTATAGAGATTTTTGTTTGAAGCAAAATCACACTGCTCATATTCTTCTAAACATCTGCCATATCCTTAAATATTAGTATGATCGACAGCATTGACACACTAGGAAAACGTCAGTTTATTGAACAGGCCCCTTTGCTGTTAGACACTTCTGCCATTTCTACATGGAATATAAGATCTTTTGTGTCCAGCTTTAGCCCTGTCTCCACTCACTCCACTGTGACATCTGATCATAATACGACAGGACACACTGCCTTTTCCAACACCTCCCTTCCCCAACTTCTGGAGTTTTATTGACTAGACCTCTGGCAAACTCATGACGTCACCTTCACCTATTGCCTTCTCTGATACATCTTCCCAGTCAGGATTCCCAAAAGGTCCTCAGGGCATAACTAGGCACATTTTCTTTAATCCATCCATACTCGTAAAATACTTCAGTCCTCCTGTATGTTTGTGTCAGAGAAAGAGAGAGAGAGAGAGAGAGAGCAGAAAGCACACATTTCGTGTGCATGCAACATATATACTGAAAGATTTGTGGAGAGATAGCAGCAAGCATTAAAGCAAATACTGTCAGAGCTGCCCTTATTTATTCAGCTGAAGAGCTAACATCTTTCACCTGATAAATCCAATGAAGCCCTCCCTGTCCTCTGGGTGTTTATAAATATCCCACTTTTTTATAGGGGGGTCTTTTGATTTCCTTTGGCAGGTAGGCTATAGCTGTAATTTTTCTTTCACCAAAAACAGACAGTAGGGTCCTTTGATTGTTGATTCTCACCAGTGGTCCTCTCCACAAGTCGGCCTTACTGCCAAATGCCTACAGTTTTCAACAGCAGGTCTCCCTTACTGTTATTCCGTGGAAATGCCACGGACTTCCTCTTATTTTCCTTTAAAAACAATTTGTTGTGGGCTTGAGAGATGGCTCAGTGGTTAAGAGCACTGCCTGCTCTTCCAAAGATCCTGAGTTCAATTCCTGGCAACCACATGGTGGATCACAACCATCTGTAATGAGGTCTGGTGCCCTCTTCTGGCCTGCAGACATACACATAGACAGAATATTGTATACATAATAAATAAATAAATATTTAAAAAAACACAATTTGTTGTCTTTCACTTTTGAGATGCAGCCACTCCTGTGATTAAATAACTATTTCCTCAAGTCCATGCTAGGTACTCTTCAGTGTGACTGCTTTTTTTTTTTTAAGTTCCTGTGTGTTCCCCTGAGGATAAAGGACCATGATAAGCGTAACATTTCTTTGTTCTTAGAGCGGGTGTCTGACGAATAGGAACGGTGATGCCAAGGCTATTTCACGACACAGACAAATGAGCTCCATTTCACAGTACGAACCTGTGGTGGAAAAGTCTTCAGACAGGACACTCGTCGTCCTGTGTGTAGACTAGAGTTAAGACGTCATTGTTACAGATGAGAGATAAAGGTAGTAATTTGGGCAGGGTGGAGAAGGTTATAATACAAAGATTTCAGAAACTAAACTGATAGACAGTTATGGTCAAGAAGGCATCAGAAAGACCAGGGTTTAGCATTTTCAATTTGTGACCCCTTTTTACCCAAGAGATTGGTACATGACCCCAAGCACATAAAATAGGTATACATATCAACATTTACTAATAATAGATCATAAATTTTAAACCAGTTTTTGGGTATGCACATTTTTTGTCATTTGTTAATGAGGGACAAAAATTTATGTACCAATAGAATAGATATACTTTATTGTTATGTACAGAATTACATTTTTCTGAATATTTCATATTAGAGTTGGAGCATCTTCAATGTTTTTCAGAGTTGATCAATATTTTGATTTTATGAATATCAATACTGAGAACATCACATTGCTGTCATATGGGTGCTGGGAACCCAGGTCCTCTGTAAGAGCAGTAAGTACTCAAGCCGTTGCTCTCTATCCTTGAATTAAACATGCATTTTTTTTTTTTTAAAAACTCTTGAGACAGGGTCTCAACTGTTGTCTTGGCTGGCCTGGAATTCTGCCTCTGCCTCCTAAACACAGATCATAAGTGTATGCCATCATGCTCAGGAAATAAAATGGATGTTTTATTGCTGGAAGTTAACTTTCTAAACTTTGATTTTCTCTACAGAAGTGTCATTCTTTTCTGTTTTTCTGGTCTAAAAATAAGTGAGAGAAAGGAGAGAACGAAGTAAGCAAAACCAGCCATACCTTTCTCTCACTTTTCCTCTCTGATTTTTATCTAAAATCGGTGGTTCTCAACCTGTGGGTTGCAACCCCTTTGGCAAACCTATTTCCAAAAACATTCACATTATGACTCATAACTAGAAAATTTAGAGTTAAGAAGTAGCAATGGAATAATTTATGGGTGGCTGGGCACCATGACTTAAGAACTGAATTAAAGGATTGTAGCATTAGGAAGGGCTTGAGAACCACTGCTCTAAAAGAACCTAGAATATGAGCAAAATTAGCTCAAAACTAGCAAAAAATAATAACCATGAAAAAAAATGTCTAGGTATCCTGTAATTAGAAAAACAAACAAAGAATCCAAAAAGGTGCCAGGCATCTTAGGTCCCACCCAGCAGTTGGTGGCAGCACTAGACTGATCTCTGAGTTCCATCCTAGTCTGGGCTAGAGTGAGCCACTGTCTCAAAACAAAACAAGCTCCTCAAACCTAAACAAAACATTAAGCTGTCTCCTTTGCTATCTCTCTCTCTCTCTCTCTCTCTCTCTCTCTCTCTCTCTCACACACACACACACACACACACACACACATACACACACACCAGAAAAATACATATTAAACAACAAAATGTCCCTTTGATCAAAAATTATCTTCTAAGAATTCTGTCAAAAATGCCATTCAAGTTTGGGAAAGCACTCTTTGCTAAGCCTTATGACTTGAGCTTGATTTTGGAACCTGCACAGGCAAAGGAGAGAACTGATTGCCACAAGTGTTCCCCCAGCTCCCACCGAAAATGCGCAGTAGGTTAATTTACACATGGCTAGTAAATCTAGAATCATTATTTTGGTAAGCAAGTCAAGAATACCAGAATTGACTAACAATAAACATCTTCATCAATGTGGAAGTGGCTAAAAATGGTGATCCAGGCTTGGGTAGCTCAGTGGTACAGTGATTATCTAACATGCATGAGGCCATTGGTTCCAGTCCCTGCACCCAGTAAGCAAACAATTATGATCCTGCTACATGAAATATTATTTACTAAAATAGGAATTAGGCTAGCAACAGGAGGAAAAAAAGCAAAATATAGAATATAAATATAAGGAGGCTTCAATCGTCTAATGAACACAGATACAAAAAACAAGGAAAGAATAAAAGAAGGAATTTGGGATGGC